CGTCTGGATAACAGCAGACTGACTGCTGGTAAAATATACGACAGGTCTGGACCACTCGTGAATTTTGTTCGTATCTGAAAAAAATCGTAGAATACAAAAACATTGGTGAATGCCACAAATTCTCCTAAATCACTCGTACGCACAACTTAAGAACAAATCTGTGCGTACGAACGGTTCTTGCATGAGGCTCAATGTTTTGTAAACAAGGAAAATACTGCGTATAGTTGTTCCAAATTTAATAAAAACTACAACCGAACTACGCAGGCCTAATTTTTTCCAATTTTTATGTAGTCTAGACATAAAGGTCTTTAAATGTAACCCTGATGGATTTGAGACAAATATAATTCTTTAAAGCTGGAACTCATTGAAGTAGCCATTAGGCTACTAGCATTCTACTAACATGTTTCACTGTTTGTATTACTGAGCTCATATTTGCAAACAAATTGACAGGAAATTACTTAAGTTAGCCTTTTGGTCAAATCTTCAAATACCCGCTGCAGATAGACAAAGAGCCACATGTAGTTTTAGGTTGCAGACCCCGGTTTAAAACAAATAGTCTTCATAACTTTTTTTATTACATGACATTTTTGATTTACAGTCATATACTCGTTTGAATCTAAATTTATGCATCAAGATCCAAAATGTTCCTTAAATTAGTCAAAACCTCTTATTATTAACAATATGATTATTTTCTGCATCACAGTTTATCAACAGAAAGAATATGCAGAAAAGTGTGCAAAAAACAATCTCCTATACAGTATGAATTAGTATCTCTAATCAAATCACTATTATGAGAGCCTGTTGGAAAACAAGTTTCAGCTCTTTGCTGCTCTGTAGTATACCTGTGCTCTAAAAAATGTCATGAAGAGAAAAAAAAAAAAACCTAAAACAGGACTTATCTTTAAAAAGCAAACATTGCTGCCCACCAATTTTGAACAAGCTATTGTTACACGGAGAGAAAAAGCCTTCACAAATGGGAGAAGAGGTTTCAATAGTCCCGGGAGTGGACTTTTATTTTTTTATAAGTTCACCCTGAGGTCAGACTGTGCAATGCTCAGAGAAACAGCAAAAATCCAAGAAATAAAAAGTGAAAATAAAAACTGCAGAAGCATAAAAATACACGGCACACCACTACAACTTTGATTTTTAACCCTAAATCCAAAAAAGTTTTTTTGTGAACCTTTGCCTATCTTCACTTCTAAAATTTCAACCTCTCTAAAATTTATTTTTTATACCAGCCCAATAATCTAATTGGAAGTGAAATGCTCAGTTGTTTATTATTCATTCAACCTACTTTTACAGCTTTTTGTTTCTCCTGTTTCAACAGTTTTGAGGTACTGAATGCTGC